AACAAAAGTAAAGTCACCCAAAAAGTGGGTGAGGCAAAATATTGCAATTTAAAATATTATTTTCACCCTCAATATGCAACTGATGACCCGGATACTAATTTTCTTGAATGTTTAGGTGTACATTAACCTCCCTGATTTTTTTCATGCAATTCTGATGAACTTATACAGAAATATATACATTGTTATATTAAATTGGGCTATTTGATGGCCTATTTTCAGATATCTGGGGCTAGAAATGCCAGTTATTGCACTCAAATAGTGGGTTAACATTTTTAGTTGCTTTAATGTCAGTAAACAATCATTATATTACTTGTTTAGTTGACCAGAGCATTCCATTTTGGAATAAAAAATTATTTACCATCCCATACTCAAATTTGGAGGGGGGTACCTAGGATGTGAAATTTCATATTTGTCCACTACATATATTTTTCTACATTTTTGATATGTTTTTTCAACTGGTATCAATATACAATATAAGCCTTATTTAAAAACTGTTGCAATTGGGTTATTGATGGGACGTTGAGGTAGAGGTTGAACACTAATATAACCTCATCAATTTACATACATTGATTCCTGGCTGTGATGCTCATATCGACCTTGGCGAAGATGGCTTGCACTCAGCTGGTTATATAAAACGTAATATTGTACTTATTGTATTTATATATTTATTGTCATTTAAACATACATGTTCTTGCATATTATAATTATGTACTCTCCAATATTTTATTTATTTATTTATTTAGCCTCCAATACTGAAGAATAGTTTGACAATTAAAACAATCTTACACTATACATTATGCTAATTTGACAATTACAATATCATGAATTATACATGATCAAAATTTAGACCCAAAATAACAATGGATACATTGGTAAATCAGCTAAAAAATCTTCTTTGGTACATAATTGAGATATTCTTACATGAAATAATCAAAACATTATCCCAATTTTTCATTGGAAACTCCATGCCTAAAATAATGTTATATAAAACCTCACATGAAAGTTTCTTAAATGTAGGATTTTCCTTAATCAAATTTTCAATCATAATCTTTCTGATATCAACACAATTATCACAACCCATAATAAAATGATAAAGATCCTCTAATGAGTTATTATTGCATTTCTTACATTCCCTATTTTCTCTAGGTAAACCATGGTTGTTAATTTCTAAATTATGTATACCATATAGTACTTTAATCATCATATTACATTTTTGCTTAAGTTCGGGATGTTTGAGTCCTAAGTAATACCAGATAATATTATGGAGGCAATAAAGATACATAAACATAAATAAACATAAACAGTATGAGAAACAAGATTACTATCAATATTTTATAAATTTCATTTTATTGGCATCAACTTCCGACCATGATCACCTTGATTTTTACGTCAAAGAGTGACTCATACCTGTGGCCCAGCGGCTGTGAAAAAATCGGGGGAAGTCAATTTGATTTATTAATTAAAGGAGATAATTAAAAGAGACCAAAATCCACCGTACAAAAATATATTTTCCATTCGTGGTATCAACACAGTATTATATACTCAGATGATTCCAGGGGCACCATGTGGTGACTAAGATGATTTATCTGACTATTGTTTAGTTATTCTTATAACATTTTCCCAGTCACAAGTATTGGATTTATCAAGGAACCAGTGTCCGGACTCTTTAGCTGTTGCAATTTTCACTTCTCTTTCAATTATCCAGTTGTTGTTCAAAACAACAGGCCGCGACTGGTGTGGATTACTAGTATCATGGAGCTGTAAATACCAAAGCCCATCTTCAATAATGTTAAAGTCCAATAATTTGTATTTAAGAGTGTGATGTGAAACAATAGCATCATGAAGATATATTTGATCGTTGACGTCGGGTGAGGTGCTGTCACCTTTAGAATAATGTCCATTCAAAAGGTTGTCTATAACATATGTGAATATATCTCGTGAAGCAATTGTTGGCCGCACAGAAACAAAGCCTGCAGCTATATAGCGATTCCTTGTTGAGAGCTGGGCCCCAACTAGATCATAATGTGATAGTGATTGCAGCAGGGGGAATGGAGAAGAGAACCAAACAGCATCGACTTCGAACAGAAGGATATGTACGTTGTTTTTGAGCAATGAACGTGCTAATAGAGACCTGTTGAACAATTTCCATGCACATTTTGCTTTTTCGGTCACATCTTTCGTTAAAATCGAGTACAAGACGGAGACAACGTTTGGCCAATCACTCCGCAGTTTCCTCAGTGCTATTTCATCAGTTGCAATGATAAGCACTTGTTCATGAACACTCATATTGACAGTGTTACATAACCAACTGTAAGTCATTTCCAGATACGCTTCATTCACCATTGTCACAGCTACAATGCCATTTTCAGTTTTATTAGCAATAATTCTAGCGTTCCTGATGACCTCTGTTGAATCATCTTGATTGCTGCGTTTATCTCGAATGATACTCCTTTCATAAACACGAGAAAACATGTTTACATCGAAGGCACTTTTTTGTCTATAATGGTTTCTCTGCTTTATGTTGCATATCAAAATTCCAATTATTATTCCGCCCAGTATGAGGCCAAACTGTTGTTTTAAAAATGTCATTTCACAAAAATCTAAATAAAAGAAAATACAATTAAATATAGTTATTAATCAATTATTGATAGCGAAAAGAACACAATATCGATTTTAGAATAATGAATTAGTTTATCCCAGGATGCTTATACTTCCAGATTAATAACCGTCTAATCCCTTCCACGAAGATGTTATTCACCCGTCAATCCCACTTGGAAAACTGGCATACACATTTCAAGAATTTTTGCCAAACAATGCTTCTTATTTCGTTCATTTGAGTAGGTATACTGAGCGTTAATGTGTTCCTAATGGAAAAAAATATATTTTCCAAACAAAGTTGAAAATAGAGAGGTTTTGCAATAGATAAAGTGTGAAACCATTATAACCTATTAAACACAGACAGTCCGATACAGATTATTAAAGTCACTGAAATCATCGGCAGTAAAGTCACAGAAATTCAAGCAATAAGCTTAATGTGTTTGGTCGCTGTAATGAACGTGTACAGTATTGTTGATTTTCATGTTGATATGTTACAAGTATACAATGCAGTTTCAAAATATGAAAAGTCAAGTTATATTTTCAAGACTAGAAATACAGTCGAATTTTGTTTCATACAAAAATCAGATATGCATATCAAACCAATGATTTCGTGAAGAACCTAGAAAGTCATGAATATCATGGGATAAAAAACTGGTCGGGATTAAATATGAGTTTATTCCTCGTGACGATATGATATTTCCCCCTGGCTCTCCGCGCCCTCGGGAAATATCATATTGTCCCTATGAATAAAACCCACATTCGATCCCTCCCCAAAATAACCCCTGTTTATTTGATATCGATTGAGGTGTTTCATTTGCCTGTTGTATGATTTTACTCTATCTTCCATTGATTTTCATATTCTATGTTTTAATAACTTCTGAAATCATTTTGGATTTTAAAACAAATAGTAAAACTGAAGTTAGCAGACTTTATGCAATTCCCTGTCCATTTGTATTTTAGCAGTCAACAAACTGTTGTGTATTTTTTAAACAATTTCTAAAGGTTTTCTCCAAAGTTCTGGAAAGTAGCAAAAACTCTTGTTTTTAATCTTTTTTCAGAATAGTTATACTCTTGCACGTTCACGTTGCATGTTCACGTTGTAACAATATTTTATCCTATTTTATGGCTTGTTTTCTTAAATATCGATAATTATTTTCAATGAATGTGAAGGCATTGTTACTAGCCCCAATGCTGTCTATACGATTCGAAATTAAGATTATTAAACAAATATCTAAATGCCTATTTTATTTAGAAGACAACCCTTTTGTATCCAGAGACAATAATATTGAACAAAAAGTGCCCTCGGACTTTCACAAATATCAAATTTTAGAAGTGAATAACGACGTTAAAATAAATTCTAATCATACGTACCGATTTTTTTGAGCTTGTCGATATTATGGAATTTCGTGCAATATATCGTCAATTTACTTATCTAAATACTAGTATCGTGTATTACCTGGTGCCTAGACATATCACCTGGTAAAAGATACTCGTTAAAGTGAAAAAAAGAAAGTGCACGCGGTACACTCCTTTGCAAAAGCTTTGCAATCCTCCAAATTTTCGCTGGAGTACGAGTTGAATGATCAAAAGCATTTTTAATACTGAATACAATTTTTGTTTTATCATGGTTTTAGAACCGAGACATTGCCCGAAAATGAAAGAATGTCAGCTGCGTGTTTTGGGAAGAAACAAAGCAAAGTAACAAAGCACAGCTGTCATTGTATAAATTAAAGATCATGCACTAACTTCCCCTGACCAATCAAGTCTAATGATAAAGTTAAATGTTCGAATGTAATTATAACTCATCATTACCAGGGCGATGCATAAATTGACTCAAATTATCACATCTTGTTACTCTTTGGATTCGTTCGACTTCATTCTTACAAGATAGCTTCGTCTTCTTCGGTATTTTATAACTAGACTCTGCGCGCAGGGTACATCTTGTAGACATGGTAGAGAAAGGTTTATTTTTTTGTAGATGGCATAATTTATTCCCAGTCTTGAAGTTTGAAGAAATTACAAAACTTAAAAATCATGTCTTAAAATTAGACATTTTGCAAAGTGTTGCCAATCTGATTCACAGAAATTGTTGAAACACATTAAATGATTTTAAAAAAGCTTTTGGTGAGACACAAAAGTTTAAAACCCTATCGTGTGACAAATGGGACACTATTTGAGCAGAAAACACATTTCACACTTTCATTGACCATTTTGGACCAGTTAGTTTTAACCGTTCAACAGTTAATGGGCATGTTACCTAAACAAATGGTTAGAGGGGCAAAGTTGCTCCCTGTGACCCGGAATCTGAGAAGCCTATAAATATTTTACAAAAATCAAAAGAAAATGCAATTTTCAATGTTTTGAGTCATGTATTTTATTGGTCCATGATTAATGAAGATACTGACATTTTAAGACCACGATAGGGGTATGTTTCGATTTACTGGAAAATATGCTTCTTCTATGGAAACTTAGAACATTTCTTTTGATTACAATAACTTTAGACAATAACTAACAATATACATAACGGAGAAAAGATGCTCAAGTTTTACACCATAATGTGCGGGATTCAAAATCAAAGTAAAAAAATATTAGGTCTTCCAGCCTGCTATGAAATTGTCAGGGGAAGGGTGTTAAAGGGTTGAAGAATCGCGGATGTTGAAGTTCAGGTTTTATCAATTTTTAGTAATATTTGGTAAGAGTTAATAATTAATATTTTGGAAAATTTCCTCCTGCTTTCGGGGTTAAACTGAAGCAGCAGCTAGTCACAAGGAGTTACCCCTAGCAGAGTTGATCAGGCTCCGCCAGCATTTCATACAATGCAGCCGTACAAGATGGTTGGTTGATTGGGTGAAAACCACATTGTATGAGTTTCAACAGATGTCATCCGGATGGTATCTAAAGCAACACCGTGTCGATATGTACCCCTCTATTATCAATTAAGCTTACAGCGCGTTTTTTAATATTTCATATTTTCCTTTCAATATAAATAGCCTAAGCCTGATTTTAAATATTTGATTCAAGTAATAATTAAGCAATATTTTACGATGGATAATTTTACTTTGATAAATCAAGAGATATCAAGGTCACAACAAAAAGCATCTTGTCATATCATATCTAACAAATGATATGTCTTGTTTAACAGCCAGACCATGACATATTTAGAGGTTATGTCACTATTGTGGCAATATCCGAGGGAATATGTGCCACGATAGTGATATAAACGATTTATGATATGATGCCTAAATAGCAATAAACATTTAGGCATCATTTTAGACAAACACAACACCTTAGCTTTGAAGAACACATTAACTCAGTGATTACTAGGTGTAATAAAATGTTAAATCCATTAAAAGCACTCAAATTTTCAGTAAGATCAAAACACTTACAGACAATTTATATGGCATTCATTCTCCCACATCTCGAATATGGCAATATTATTTTTGACAGCGCAAATCTAAACCGCTTAGCAAGTTTAGATAGAGTCCAATATAGAGCGGGTCTTATTGTAAGAGGTTGCATCCAAGGATCAAACTCTGAGAAGGTGATGGCATGTCTTGGATGGAGATCCTTATCCAATCGAAGAAAAGAAAAAACTAGTTTTTATGTTTGACTTTGTAAATAATTATAAGATGCCTTCATATGTTTCAAATGTTTTTGAACAGTATAAGAATCAGGTAAATAACCAAAGACTTCGTCGTAGCAATGATTTTAAGATCCCAATCAAAGCATCTGCTAAACGTAGAAAGTTTACAGCTTTATCCAGTATTAAATTATGGGATAATTTACCTGATGGACTGAAACAAGCACACTCACGCAACTCATTTAAGTATAAAATTAGAACATTTTTGAATGGGTAAAGGAAAGAATTCACAACCCCAAGATTAAACCTATCCAGAGATAAAGAAATTGTCTTAAATAAAACGAGATGTGATCTCATTTTAAGGCAGCATCTTTTTACACATAACTTCAAAAATATTCCAAATGCCAAATGTAAATGTGGTCACTCTACTGAATTGAATCAACCAAACACCTATTGCTCCATTGCCCTCTTTTTAACACTAAAAGACTCAATTTTCACAGAGAACTAGGGGGACTGCCATCCTTTAATTTAAACTCTTTTAATAATAGAAAACGGGAAGACAGGGTAGACTTTATACTTTTTGCAGATCCTTCTCTTGACACAATTACAAATAAAAAGGCTATTGAATTAACAGCCGAATTTTTACACTCTATTGTCAAGGAAGTTAAATAGTCCAATATTCATTCATTTGTACATATATCTCTGACCTGTCTTCACGATTATTTTCATGTTCATAAATATGTTCTACATCTATCATTTTTACATTGTGACCTATTTTAACTTATATTGTAACTACTACAACAGGGCCAATAATGCTTCGGCGTAGACCCTATATCTGTTTGTATGATGTATTATGAAATAAAGGAAATATAAAATTTAAAAAAAAACAAAAAAAAAACGATTTATGACATACCTATAATGATGTAGAGTGGTCAGAGAGCACAGTTTTCTTACCTTATTCACTAACAAATTGTATAGAAATAGAATTTGATGGTCTATTTCCGTGTCTGCATTACTATGCTTGATCAACTGAAGATAAAACTACGCAAGCAATTTTTCTAAACCTACAATTTTAGCAAAACAAGGGACACGAATGTATCAATGAACATGATTAATAATTAATTAAATATGGTATACGTAGGTCATGTTCATTATTAAGCGCAATGGAGAATATGATGTATATGATACTTATATAATTTATTAATTTAGAGTATGACATGCTTTATTTTTTTATTTAAAACAAACAGTCTTTATTTTTGCATTCAACGTTCATACAGGCACCTATGTCCTTGATAAGTGCTGGGATTCGTATCCGTCGAGGTTGTTATCATCTGGTGTCTTTAGGAAAACATTACAAACATTACTAGTAATGAAAAATAAATGATGACAAATCAAGCTGTTAAAGCAGAAAATAATTACATTG